AAAAAAACCAGTCCTGTTGATATAGAAACTTTTCTTTATATTTCTATTTCAAAAGAGTCGGCTTTGTTTTCTTTTCCACACCTTTAAAAAGCCTGTAAGTGAAGTTGTGTGTAATGTAGTAAGTTATGAACATTGAGATGCAGGAGTTAAGATATATTTAAAATAAGGTTTCTTTGACAGGCTTTGCATCTTTTAACTTCTAGTCCTTTCTTGTTTTTTAGCATCAACAATGTTTAGCAGTATTCAGCAGAGTGAAATTTACTCGAGTGTTACTGACGGTGCTTATAGCCTTTACTAAGAAAGAGGTAAGGGCGTTTACTATAATTTGTCTCCCTGTTTTAGTGATTTGGGGATGTAATGCCTTACTGAAGCAATTCTGAGACTTTTCCATTGAAGTGCTCCTGACCTCAGATACACAGCACTTAGCGTCTGGTATATTTACCTCAGAGTAACTGATAATTTTTCTCTAGAAGTCACATGAGTTTTATATTCTGTTCCATAAATATCCTTGTCTGTTGTTGATATAAAAATAAAATTTTATATTACTTGGTAAATAAAACAATAAAAGCTGAAATTGCTTGTGGATTGTCATATTTTTTGAGTCGAAAAGGAGAAAGAAAATTGAGAATTTTAGGTAGACTATTCGTCCCTTCAGTTAAATAATTAAGTTGGATTTGTATAGAACCAAAAGCAAGCCCTAATTGGTGAATATTTTTTCTTTTACTTATTTTTGCATTAACCCAAGTCAATTACAGACTAATTTATGATGATTTCTTAAGTGGTAAGTACAGATCCAGCATTTAACATTGACCTAACTTCTGTGATTGTTTTTTCCTGTTGTTTTTCCCCCCACTTTGATGAATGACATAGTAGAACTATTGAAATTTTTTTCATTTTCCAGTTGACTGCATCTCTGGTTTTTATTTTCAAAAAATTAGATTAATAAAGTAAACCAGAAATGTTTCCTATTGTTTTCTAATGGATCCTGCAAGATACAGATGTGAGTAAAAAAAGCAATTTCTATCATAATAGGATTTGGACATCCTGTATTAA